CAACAATGTCCTAGGGGGTCCGGGGCATGACCCCCGCGAACTTTTTGTGTTCTAGACGCCCGAAAATAACATTTGAGGCGTTGTGGGCTATCATTTTCTTTCTTTTTCCTTCTTTATTACTTTTTTTCACCTCCCAAAAGGAGGGGGGGCCAGCCCCCCCACCTAAATCCGCCCCTGATTATTATATAAAAAAAGGACCAGATGTCCAAAAATATACATTTAGTTCTAGAGTGGTTGATGTTTAGAACAGTCTGCCATCTCCATTTGTAATGGCAACTAGTTTTAATGAATATAAATCTTTGCTAAATAATCGCTGGGTTGACCTAAATTGTAAATTTTCCTTCTACCTTTAAAAAAATAGCAATAAGAATAAAATAATTAACTGTAGAAGTATTTGCAATGTTCAGATAAAAAATTAATTCTCTTCTTTGTGCATATGCAAAATATGTTTTTTTAAATGGTTAATTTGTTTGAAACTCTTTTCACAATGTTCACATTTGTATGGCTTTTCTCCTGTATGTATCCTTAAATGTATTTTCAAACGGTCACTTAGACTAAACTTCTTTCCACAATGTTCACATTCATATGTTTTTTCACGATGTATTCTCAGATGTCTTTTCAAGAAGTTACTGTGTGGAAATTTTTTTCCACAATCAGTGCATTCATATGTTGTGTCCATCTTGAATTTTCCACTATTTACATAATTCTTATCTTCTGTGTGCTTACTCAAAATATGGTTTTTTAAATGGATATGCTGGTTGAACTTCCAGCCACAATGTTCACATTCATATGGCTTATCTCCTGTATGTATCAATAAATGTGTTTTAAAACTTCTGTTTGTCTTAAACCTCTTTCCACAATATTCACATTCATGTGGCATCTCTCCGGTATGTGTCATCAAATGTATTTTCAAACTGGTATTGGTAATAAATCTCTGTGTACAATATTCACATCCGTATGGCCTTTCTCCTGTATGCAACATCATATGTGTTTTTAAAGTGCTATTTTCGTTGAACCTCTTTCCACAATGTTCACATTCATATCGTCTTTCTCCACTGAGTGTTCTCAGATGTTTGTTCAATGAACTCCTGCTTTGAAATTTCTTTCCACAATGTTCACATTCATATGGTCTTTCTCCACTGTGTGTTCTCAGATGTTTGTTCAATGAACTCCTGTTTTGAAATTTCTTGAAACAATGTTCACATTCATATGTTATTTCTTCACTGTGTATTTTCATATGTTTGTTCAACGAGCTCCTGTGTTGAAATATCTTTCCACAATGAAAACATTCATACGCTGTGTGCATCTTCAAATCAGTTTTCATCCTGCCACTATTCACAGAATTTTTATCTTCTGTGTGTGTACACAAAACATGGTTTTTTAAATGGATACTGTGATAGAACTTCTTTTCACAATGTTCACATTCGTATGGTGTCTCTCTTGTATGTATCATTAAATGTGTTCTCAAACCATTCTTTTTTAAAAACCTCTTTTCGCAATATTCACATTCATATGGCTTCTCTGCTGTATGTATCAATAAGTGTGTTTTCAAAGCATTATTTCTTTTAAACTTCTTTCCACAATATTCACATTTGTATGGCTTCTCTAATGCATGTATCATCACGTGTGCTTTCCAACTGGTCATTATATTGAACTTCTTTCCACAATGTTCACATTCGTACGGTGTCTCTCCGCTGTGTATGCTCAGATGACTTTTCAATAGGCTACTGTGTGGAAATTTCATTCCACAATGAAAACATTCATATGTTGTGTGCACCTTAAAATTGTCACAACTCACAGAATTCTTTCCATAAGTTGAGTCTCCTGTATGTGTTTTCAAATGTTTTTCCAATTCACTTTTGTTATCAAATTGCTTTCCACAAAGTTCACACTGAAGTAGTAGCACATCTTCTGTTTTGATTCCCAAATGTGTTTTCAAAGTATCTATATCAAAATTTTGTCCACAGCATTTACACTCGCATGTCATCTCTTTATCATTCATTTTTAAATATTCGTTTGAATGGCCATCATGTTCACATTGTTTCAATTCACTGCATTCACTTGCATTTTGCTCCTCACAAGTACTGGGACCTGCACACACTGTTAAGTGCGCAGCATAAAAATCTGCTGTTGTTCCAGACATCAAACAGTTTTCACTATCCATACTTTCATAGTTACTGCCTCTGAAATATAAAATTATTGCTGTCAGTATATTTGTAGTGGGATGGTAGAAATGAGACACCAATAATCTTCTCTGTTGCAACATGGTTCATTGGCACAGCATATACTGTATCACATTGGTGGCGCCAGGAACTCCCCGACGAGGGGTCCCAGCTCCCCGACAAGGGGGTACACC